TGAATAATATATCAGTTAAAAGACTCAAAGTGCTGAAAGCTGACAGATCACACACTGCAGATTAACTGACTTCACTCAGAAAGCTAAACTACAAAGCTATATTAAAATAATATAATATCACTGATCACACATTCAGAATCTACTCTGTAAATACTGAGAAAAACAGATGAACAGTTCAGTAGAAGCTTCAGCAGTCAGTAGTGATCTCTATGAAGAAATTGAATTTAATCTTCTTATAAAGATAAGCTTCTGCTGTGCTGAACTCAAGACTATAAAAGAGAAGTTCTTCAAGAATCTGATAGCAGACTGAGTCAAGACATACTTCAACTGACTTAAGAACACTCACTGAGACAGTATTAAAATAGTATCAGTCTTTAACAGTTACTGACAGCTTCTGAAGACTCTGTATGTAAAGTACACTAATCATGATATAAATAATGAGATAATGCAGAATTGTCTGAATATAAGATTATCAGAATATCTGATATGATCTCAGCTGACAGATATTCTATACAGTATAAGAATATTATTATCAAGAGATGAGATCTTCAGTGACAAGTGAGAAGAAAGCTGTTCAGTATTAAGAATAATGTGTACTGCATTCTTCATGCTCATTGAACACAGTGTATGAAGATATATGCTGATAAGAAACAGTGACTCTATATTACTACAGACATTCTTCTGTTCTTCATCTTCAGTGAGAGACTGATCTCACTGTTCAACACCTGAATCAAAACAGATGATAAGAAAGTCAGAGATAAACTATCAAAGAAAGTGTTACACATCATTAGCAAGAACTCAAAGTGCAAGATCAACTGTCACTGTCACTGTTTCTGAGAAACAGAGACTCTCAGTCTCTACTTGAAGATAAGATTCTGAATCAGTCAACAAGATAATAGACTCATAGTATCAGAGAAATACAAGAGAACTCATTCTGACAATAATAATAAGAAATATCATGATATAAAGAAGGCATGAATTATAGCTTCTTAAAGAAGCTGTTACTTCATCTGAGACAAAGTATTCTATAGCAACTACAGAATGTGCAGTGAAGACATTATATACAATACTCTGAATAGTGATCTGAATAGTCATATGAGTAATGATACAGACTTTAACTCAGAGTATATTAATATAGAAAGTAATAGCACTGGCAGCAATTTCAGAGAATCTCTGTTTAGTAAGCTCATGTAAGAAAATGATACTGACACTGAGTTAAGTGTAGAGTCAGTGAAAAGTGACTACATCAGTGATATATCTGCTGATAATAATATCAGTGAACTTGACTGTTTCATAGAGAATATGACAGATGATAAGTATAATACAGACTTGAAGAAGACTGAGACTCTTGTCTGACAGTATATTAAATTTCATATTATTTGAAGTCTCTTGACTGATCAGCTGAACATTCTTCTGATCAAGATCACACTTCTTTATATAAAGAGTGAAGATAAGAAGTCATGAGTATAAGAATCTACAGCTTTCTCTCTTTTTAATCTCTGTGCTGTTTTACACTTCAATGACTGACTGACTGCAGAAAAACATTTATTATCAGTTATAATTCAGAGCTGCTTCTGAATCTTCTGAGTCATCTTCTCTTAATAATAATAGATGACAAAATCTTCATATCTGAATTCAAAAAGCTTGAAGATATCTACTGATATCTCATCATATCATATCTAAGTGATATGAATCTAAAGATTAAGGCAGAGATACTGAACTTACTGATATTTCATCAGTCTGAATACACAGAGAATGAATACTGAACATCAGAGAGAATGTCTCTTAAAGAATCTATATAAAACAGTTATCTCAAATATCTTGATCTGATGACTGAGCTTAAATATAGTCTGACTCAGTATGTCTGATAATACTCTCTTATCAATATTATTAACAGTATATATCTTATCACTCTTCTTGATTCTCTCTTCTATTCTCTCTTTCTTTTCATTCTCTCTGATCAGACTGTTTGCTGATCTACTGAATTCACAGTCAAAGCTCTGTTCTCTGTTCAGAATTAAGTCATCAATTATGAATTCAATGCAGTACAGTACTATCTAGACATGATCATCTAATTCAATCTGAAAGCTACAGTCATGAAGCTCTCATTAAATGAAGTGATTCAGAAAACAGTTTATAAGCTGTTCTTGAACACTGATACTACTGCTCTTACAGAACTTAATAATGAGCTGAAAAGAAAGATTACTAATAACTTAAAAATTAGAGAGCTTACTGAGTGTAGTAAAGAGCTGACTGAGAAGCTGAGAGTAATGAGATTCTATTTCATATTGACAGCATAAGATAAAACTTCACTGTATAAGAAGAAAATAAAGACAGTTTCTCAGTTGAACTGTAGCAAAGTTTATCTTCACTTTAAGCTTATTAAGTAACAGAGATAGTGACACTTTCAGCATGCTGATACAGAGTGATTTAATCAGTAACTTTATAATAGCATAATCTGTGATTCTCTGAATGAGTGTTCAGTCTCATTCTCACTTCAGATCTTAGAATGAAGATAGATCATTGAGCTGACATGCACTGACACTCAGAAACTGACTGAGAATGAGCAGCTCACACACTGATATATATGTATTATTATCTAGTTCAAGCTGCAGTGTCAGAAGAAGATTCAGTATTAAGATTATCACAAGAAACAGCAGTTATCACAGCAATATTTTCAGTATGACTTATCTCTAGATACTGTGTGAGTGAAAGAATATATTTCAGTGAAGCTGAGTGAAAAGCAGTGTTTATTCTATATCACTGATATCTTATTGCTCTGAAAAGAGTAAATGAAGGTCTGAAAGCATATAAACAAGTTCTGAAATCATATTAAGAGTATTCACTGCAAGCAGCTGAAGATGTACTTCTTCAGATAAAAACTCTGTGAAATCTGTAAAATACAGAGTATCACCTTGATTTCACTCTGTCTCATGAAATTCAAGAGTCATACTCAGAGTGTACACAGCCCCTGTTTACATTCATAGGTTTTTACAGAGAATGTCTGATAATTAAATCATATTTCTATTATTTCTAATCTTTTCTTACTTTTAATACTTTTGCTACAAAGTGCCCTGCCATCAATACATAAGCACAGATTATTAGATAAAATCAAACAGGAATAATCTGTAGAAATGTGAAAGAGCAGATTTATTCACTAGAAACTCTTGAAGAAACTATGAGGTCACTTTTTCTCTAGAAATGATATTTGCCATGACCAGGCACTGTTTTTGACTTATTCATGTTTTCTCATCTTTTAATTTCTTTCAGTGACTTCATTCTAGAGGAAATCTTGCTATGATATCATGCAAAAACTTATCATATAATTATGCACAGCTCAAATTTTAGTTGTGTAATTTTAGTTTATAAGGGTTATTAAACTATGTTTAACAGCAGAATAAAAGAGATTTCTCACCAAATTAAGGTTTCCCGGCATAAAGGCTGCTTCTGTTGAAAGATACTTCGAGCGATCGGCCATTCTACTGTAGTTGTTTACATTCTCAAGACTCTGCGATCCAAAATCGTGGAGCTCATCATTTTGACAACGCACAACTCATTCTCTTTTGCAATCCATTTCTGACACCCGCCTATTCTTGTTTCTTGCTCTCTCCTGGGAAATTGGCAGGCACTGGAATGGCAGGCACTGAAAATCAGCTTGCATTATCTCCCAGCTAGTATTCAAAGACAGCTGCAAGCCCAAAAATAGTTCTCTTCCCAGGGCACGGGGCAGAATATAGCCACGGCCATATCCTCGAAACCGTGGCCTCATGGTGCGTATATACCCACCTTCCCTCTTCAACCGTCTACCAGGTAAATGTTTTCTTCCAGTGTCGACCATGGCATGAGATGCGAGGAATAACGCAACTATGCACCAAAATGGTTGACTGGTAGAGAATTCTCACCAGCTCTATCCCAGAAATCTTCCTAAAGCTCACCTGTAATTGGTGAGTCTTCAGTGGCTATTTCAGGTGGGTTTTTTCAGTGACCTTGCTAGTTGACTGATATATTTACTCAGACTCATGCTTCAGTTCTCACCTGACTTAGAAAGTTGCTTCTATGACAGATTTATTAGAATTTTCAGATATGTGAAGTTGCTGTTGACTCACTTCTTAATCATTCTGTAAATGAATTCAGACTGTGATATATCATGTGAATAGTTGTGATATATTTAGTATGACCAGGCCACAGATGTTCTGAAGAGTAGAGGATAATTTTCTTTTAGAAATGATATCTAGTATGATCAAAGTCATTGATCTATTCTTCAGAGCATTAATAAGCTGGTCATGTCAATGTCATCTCTAGAGAAAATATCTCTATTCTTCAGAGTATTAATGAGCTGGTCATGTCAAATGTCATCTCTAAAGAAAATATCCTCTATTCTTCAGAGCATCAATGAGCTGGTCATGTCAAATGTCATCTCTAAAGAAAATATCCTCTATTCTTCAGAGCATCAATGAGCTGGTCATGTCAAATGTCATCTCTAGGAAAAATATCCTCTATTCTTCAGAGTATCAATGGGCTGGTCATGTCAAATGTCATCTCTAGGGAAAATATCCTCTATTCTTCAGAGCATCAATGAGCTGATCATGTCAAATGTCATTTCTAGGGGAAATATCCCCTATTCTTCAGAGTATCAATGAGCTGGTCATGTCAAATGTCATCTCTAGAGAAAATATTCTCTATTCTTCAGAGCATTAATAAGCTGGTCATGTTAAATATCATCTCTAGAGGAAATATTCCATATCCTTCAGAGCATCAATTTCAAGAACTAGAGAGTGCATCAGCAGAGTTAAAGAACTTTATTCAGAAATCTGCATCTAGTGATACATTATTACAGATAAGATTCTATAAAATTTTCATCACAGCTGAATAACTTGCTAAATTATGAGGGAACAGCATGAATTTCTTCTAAAATCCCCAGGCTCATGGTGTTTAAAGCCATATCTTTTGAAGGCAGAGCCATACATCACTGAATGGCTTCTAAGTTCTAGGTTATTGAATCAGATTCCAAGCAACGCAGACACTCTCAGGTCGGAGTCCCTTCTCTTGAGCCATGCAATATTCACAATTTTGAACCCTTTATCTGTGAGCTCATTTTCTTCTGTTATTTTGGTGATGCTTCTGGCCTTATCATCTGTCAGGTTAATCTCGCGGGTCGGCGTGCGGTGTACCACGATCCCGAACTGTGGTCTGACCACTTTTGTCTGGTCGCCCAGGTCCCTTAACCATTCACTATTCTTGTTGGCTGCTTCCTTCAAGGCTTCATCCTTGAATCAGACAATGTATCCAGTTTTCATTGTTCCTATTCTGACAATTTCAGCAGCTTCTGTTGGCTTGTTCTTGCGCAGTGCCTTTACCACTCGGTTTTTGACTTCTTCTGCTGGCAGGTATCTTGTGAGAGAGTCTTCCGTCTTGTCGCTAGGCGTAGGTGTGATCACTGTGCTGATCCGGATGCATAGTAGCGCGTCCTTCTGGTCCCTGTTCTTTGGCTTGGAGGGCGGGGGTGGTGTGGGGTTGGGGGGGTGTTCACCCGCACCTATGGCGGCGATCGATGCCCACGACGGTTGGTTGATTTGAGTTTTCAAGGTAGTTATCTCTTCTTTAAGATCCGAATTTTGTGCCTGTAGTATTTGTTGGCCTGCTTTCAGCTCTTCGCAGTCCATCTTTAGAGTATCAATTGCCTGGCTTTGTCAGGTCGTTGTATCCCTCAGCTCTATCATGAGTCTTGTAAGTTCATTGAGTCTGTTCATGTTTAACTCATTCTCTCCAGTGGAGTCCTGGGGTCCACTTGTTGTTTTCAAGTTGTCAGCTTTTTGAGTCAACACCATTATCATTGCGTGGATGTTGTCTAGCTTTGTCAAGAATGTTGATCTGAACCCAGGTTCACTTTTCAACATTGCTGCAGCCTGAGGGACTGTAGCCTTTTTCTTCAGGGCATTCGACGGTTCTAAGTCATTGTCTTCAAGCCTTGTTGAGGGTCTCATAGTCCAGTGAGGTCTCGGATTTGCCTCCTCAGGGTCTGGTGCAGTGTGTGACGCGTTCTTTGATGTGTCATCCAACACGTTTTCGTGGTTTTGATTACTTGTTGTACAGATATCAGTCGATTTTGTGAGCTTGTCTTGTGCCACGAGGGCTTCCATACCTCTCTCTCTTTCAGATCGAGTGTATTCCATCATCCCATCCCATCGCAACCTTCATCCGGTCTGCCCTTGATGGTCCGGACCAGAAGGGCGCCAAGGCGTGACTGGGATAACTGTGATTGGTCGGTTTACTTTATTCATCGCAATCACAAGGACGCCAAGCCGTCACACTTTAGTGGCGGGTTTTTTCAGCGACCTTGCTAGTTGGTTGGTTTATTTACTAAGACTCATGCAAGTCAGGCTTTAACCGTGCCATGCTGCGCCACAGTGTATGAAAAACCACATCATAAAGAAAATATTTTGAATATAGTAATCTTCAAAAATTAATTAATAATCATCATCACATCTATCTATAATATAAAGATTATCTATATACTCATTAGAAGATGTAAAATTCACTGTAAGTTAAGATTCTATAGAATTATCTTATTATGATTAAGTAACTGTAGATTTTATAGATTTAATTTTAATTAATTGAAGAGTCTTATTAAATGTCTTTTTCATCTCATCTGCTCTACAGATTGTAATCTTACAATTGATATTGTTAATAGTGAGAACTTCATCTACTTGTATCTGTCTATAAAAGAATTTAATAATCTAATATCTATTTACTTAATAATGATCTGTAAGTTCACTCTCACAGTGTGTATTCAATTCTGTCTGAATTATACTACTCTTGAAGATCTTGTTCAATCATCTTATTAAATCAGATATAAGAGTATTCTTCACATCTTCTAAGATCTTGACTGCTGTATCAATTTAATGATGTAGTTTTGTAATCATCTCTGAGAAGATTAATTATCAGAAGACAGTTAACAGTTAATCTACAGATGATGAGATAAAGTGATTATATATATTATTATTATTATTATATATGTTGAGATTCAGAGTATCATCAATAGTAAGAGATCTTAATTAATTAAGAATTATATCATAATTAACTGAATATATTCTATAATTGATAAAGTCAGCTCTTATAGTATCAGATTTGAATACTTACAGTTGAATACTCTTCAGATTAGTAAGAAATTATCTGTTCTTATACTGCTTATATCTGTAGTAAGTAGTCTCATTAACTGTCTTTATATAATAATGCTTATACTGCTGAAAAGATATATTATCAAGAGATTGTAGAATATAACTTATATAAGATAAGAATCTGAATAGAATAATCTTATGAAGATTACAGTATTGAATAAATTCTTCTATAAGATAAGAATTATGATTATTCATTAATAGTAGTTAATAACTGCTTATTTAATGCTTTTTTATCATCTTATTAAACTGCTTGATTCATTCAAATTCAATCTTATCATTTATAAAGTCAGACTTAAATATAGTAATAACATAGTTATCAGATAAGTTAAAGTATGTATATTAATTCTCTAAATGAATTTTTGCTTTCATTATAATCAATGAATTTAATACTATATTATCTGCACTTAATCTGCAGAAGTATAATAACTGTATAATGAAATTTATATCTCTAAAGACAGTTATAACTCACTGTTTATATTCTTCTTTTTCTTGAAATTCAATCTCATCAAAGTCGTAGATATCACAGTGAAAAAATTGATATTAATTAAAGACAGCTTCATATTAATTAAATCAGTTGATAATGAAGCTCATATTCTTATAAGACACTTATTTTGAATTCATGAGTTTTTACTTGACTTATTTATAATCTGATAGACATTTGATAAATTGATATATTTATATCTTACTTACTGTGAGAGATGCAGTCTCTGAATCTGTATAATACTGTCTCAATATACAGTTTATAATAGCTTTGATATACTTAATAATAAATGAGTAAAAATTAATATTTAACTGATGAATTCATATCTTAATTATCTCTTTCTGACTGTCATTCAATACTCAATTCAGTAAAACTCTTATAGTTCTTGATTTCTTTTCATTGATTCTCTTATATAAGATAATATATGAGACTTTGAATTCTTATAACAGAGATGTGATTTTTAATTTTGAATTATTTTTATATATGTTAACAGCTCTTTGTAACTGCTTCTCAGTGTAATTAGAAGATTTAGACATGATTATAATTAATGATAATTATTTAAAGATGAAGAATGAAGATATTGAAAATATTTTCTATACAGTGTGGTTTTCTGTACACTGTGGCGCACTCACTACAGAGAGTGAGTAAGCATGGCACGGTTAGTCTTCATCTCAACAATTCAGCTGCATCTTCTTCTTTTTTCGCCAGCGTGGCCCAGTTGGTAAGACTGGTAACCATGGCCGCACACATTAGGGGTGTGTGGGTTCGAATCCCACCGCTGGCACCTGCCACTTCTTACCCATGAAAGCCCCCATGTAATAGGGGCTGAGCCTAATTAGTAAGGCTTGGTGCGGGGTAGAACTCTCTACTGCAAGCCAAGCCACTAGTTAAGTGAGATCCTGCGAACACCCACCAGGGCCGGCATGGGGTGTCAATGTCCCACTATCCTACTGTGCACCTGTCAAGGTTCTAACAATATAGAGTCAAGCCTAATGTAGTGGTTATACACTACTTAAGCAAGTCCCTAACTAGGGCTGCCATCGGAGCCTAGCTCCCCCTCAAATACAGGGAATGATTTTGAAAATCACCCGACTAGCAGGCCTAGATGCGCATCTAGGCCCTAGACAGGGCATCCTGATAGGCTAGTGCCTGCAAGCTCACTGCCAACCCCTAATACTGGCAGAGAGGACTGCAGTCATCAAGCCTATGATTAGTCCCTAACATGGGGTGAGGCCACAACAGCTGATTGGTAGGCCTATGGGCATCTAATGGGGCCGAGATCAGCAACCGGAAGCTTGGTGTGTATGCCACCAAGTGGGCGGTGGCAGCCACTAACTAACACCCCTGGAAATTAGTGGCTGGCCTGAGAGGACGGACACGGTGGTCAGTTAATTATAGAGGGTTAAATGTAATTAGCTTAAGGTGCATCCTGCGGGTGGCTAGCGCCTGTAGTCAATCAAATTCAATTTGATATGAATAAAACTGAGTTAATTCACTTCTTTCTGAGATTCAATGAGAAAGAACTATCTCTAACTCTTTTAAATAGAGAGATTAAACCCAGTGTAAATATCAAATGATTAGAAGTGTGATTAAACTTCAAGTTGAATTTTAAATATCACATTTAATAAAGAACTGTTAAGGCAGAAAGACTATTAAACAACATAATCAGACTATCAAATACAGAGAGAGGTCTATTCTTCCAGGCTATGAAACAGTTATATATAGTCTGTATTACATCAGTAGCTGATTATAAAGTTCAAGTTTGATGAAATAATCAAGAGAATTTCACTGAACTCTTTCAAAGTCTGTAAAACAGAGCCTTGAGAAGAATTCTGAGAGTATTCAAATCATCTTCTATTAAAGCAATGAAAATTGAAGCTTCAATTCCTTCTTCTGCTATTAAATTTGAGAAGGCCTGTATAAACTATACTCTGAGAGTTGTAAAGATGAGCTTAAATCATATAATCAGAGAAAGAGTCTCTTCTTCATTTTTATTAATTAACTCTGGAAATGAACTGGATTGAAATAGATTTCTTAATTGAAATGAAAATAATTCTTTAAAGAAAATATCTTCTCAACTGTACAGACTATACTCTCTGATTAAAAATCAATTTTCTTCTTTAAATATTGAAAAAGTTGATTATGAGAAGTTATCTCTCTGAAGAGAAAAGCTTGAATCTCTTATAGACTTATAAATAAGTGAACTATCAAAAGAGAAAGAATATGAACAGTATTTGAAGAGAATTTCTATAATCAATATAAAAGACTCTATTCTGATTTATTCAGATGACTTAAAAAATGAGAACTTGAATAGATTAGGCACAGACATTGCTTATACTGAAGATAATATTAATTTTATCTCAGATTTCTGAAATCTAGACTCTGAATATGAAGTCTTTGATGCTGAACTATTTGCAATAGTGAAAGCTTTCAAACTCATTGAAATAAAATCTCATAAAAGAGGAAATTGTTTAAAAGAGACATGAATATTCTCTGATAGTCAAGCTGCTTTAAAAAGACTTAGAAATAGTCAGATTTATAATGATCAAATGAATCTTGAACTGATCTTAAGCTCTATTTTGAAAATTCAAAAGAGAAGAATATTAAAGCTGATAATTCATCTGCACTGAGTTCCTGCTTATATGAATATTCATGACAATGAATTGGCTGATTCAGCTGTAAAAAAGGGTGCAGAATTAAGCAGATCTATTCAAAAAATTGTGTCCTGGTCTTTTATAAAGAGAAAAATAAAAGAATCTTGTTTAGACAAGTGAAATGAAAGCTGGCAGAAATAAAAGAAGAGTATACATTATTCAAGATTTGAAACAAAACCCAAGTGAAAATCTTGTTCAATTAAATGTAAAAAGAAAATATTCTCATCTATAATACAGCTGAAACTAGGACATGGCTATTTCAAATCTTATATACAAAGATTTGATGATAGATTTGACTCAATAGAATGCTTATTCTGCAATATAAATGAGAATTCTGAGTATATTATAATGCACTGTGCATTATACAATAGTCTCAGAGTCAGATTGAAAGAGAAGTATGATTTAAATCAATTAAATATGAGATTCTTATTCTCAACTGAGACAGGAATTAAATACTTAATAGACTTTCTATCAGAAACTCAAGCAGCTATAAGAAAATGACTAAATTCAGAATTATCTGAATATGAAGAGGAGAAAATCAACCAGATATAGTCTGTTAAAACAGCTATATACTATCTTTCAATAATTTGTTTTGTTACAGTCTTTCTTTATTTTATCTTTTTCTTTCAATTTCTTTCTATCTATCTATTTAATGTGTCTATCTTTAAGACTGTGTTCTCTTTTCCTTTGTCATGATATTGTCAAATGATTTCAAAGTATGAGATGATGTTAAAACACTGCAATTTATAAACAGTTTTTGTATTCTGAGCTGGAATTTTCTGATTTTGCATATCTGAAATTGATGAATGTATAATAGTTAACTTTACAGATATAGGAAAAACCCTGAGAACTAAAAGTTC